AACAAAAAAAGGAAAAGCAGAAAAGTCGGAAATTATCAACCAAGGCTATGTTGAGAAAATGTATTTCTGTGGAAACAGTTGTCTCTCTCTCACTTCTTCCTCAGGTTCCTCTCAGAGCAGGTGGCAGCTCCTGTTTCTTTATATGGCCCACATTCAATTTTATTACAATACATACATATTAATCATATTGGTTCAGAATACTTGCTTTAAATGGTCATCATTAAAAATGTATGATGATTACTATGAAATATCTGCCTTTCCCCTCTGTCTTACACTTAGGTGGCTGATGAAGGTATATTACTGTATTTTCAATGGACTAAGTTCCACAAAGACAGATGTGGTTTGTATAGAGAGCGGTTTAACTAGGGACAGATATAGTTGGGTTTATAGGGGTTCCAAATGGTGCATAGAGGGGTATAGGGAGTGGACTGAGTAAGGGGCATAGCTATATATTTAGGATAAAATATATCCATACAGTGCCTTCAGAAAGTATTCATACCCCTTGACTTATTCAACATTTTGTTGTGTTAAAGCCTGAATCCAAAATGTATTTTCAACCATCTACACACAATACCCCATAACGACAGTGAAAACATGATTTTAGACATTTTTGCAAATGTATTGAAAATAAAATACAGAAATATCTCATTTACATACAGTAAGTATTCACACCCCTGAGACAATACATGTGGCAGCGATTACAGCTGTGAGTCTTTATGGGTAAGTCTCTAAGAGCTTTGCACATCTGGATTGTACAATATTTGCACATTATTATTTTTAAAATTCTTCAAGCTCTGTCAAGTTGGTTGTTGATCAGTGCTAGACAGCCATTTTCAAGTCTTGCCATAGATTTTCAAGACGATTTATGTAAGTCAAAACTGTAACTCGGCCATTCAGAAACATTCACTGTTTTCTTGGTATGCAACTCCAGTGTATATTTGACCTTGTGTTTTAGGTTATTGTCCTGCTGAAAGGTGAATTTGTCTCCCAGTGTCTGCTGGAAAGCAGACTGAACCAGGTATTCCTGTCACACCCTGGCTCTGGGACTCTATATGTTGAGCCAGGGTGTGTTCATTCTGTGGTGTTCATTCTAGTTTGTTGTATTCTATGTTTGCCTGAGTGACTCCCAATCAGAGGCAACGAGTGTCAGCTGTTGGCTGGTTGTCTCTGATTGGGAGCCATATTTTAACTGTCTGTTTTCCCTTTGTGTTTGTGGGTTTTTGTTCCGTGTTCGGTCATTGATACCGTTGGACGTCACGAGTCGTTTCTTGTTTTGTGTTTAAACTTTAACTAATTAAAGTATGTTTGTTCATCACGCTGCGCCTTGGTCTGTTCCATATGACGATCGTGACAGAAAAACCCACCTCGACTGGATCAAGCAGCGTGACGAGGAGAGAGGATGGACTTGGGAGGAGATGAGTGCGAGTCTGGCAAGAGGGATGGAGGCCTTGGCCACGGGTAGGAGTGAAACCCATAAATTTTTTAGGGGGGGGCTAACGCCGTGGACGACGGGGCAGCAGGAGGCCGCCAGGTTACGGGAGTCACTGGTCACCAGGGGGAAGGAGGATGTAGAGGCACGGCGAGAGGTACTGGCGTGTGTTGCCAGTCCGGTCCGGCCTGTTCCTGATCCCCACGTAGGGCCAGTGGTGTGTGTTCCCAGTACTGTCCGGCCTGTTCCTGCCACTCGCACCAAGTCAGTGGTGCGCTTCGTCAGCCCGGCACGGCCCGTTCCTGCTCCCCGCACCAAGTCAGTGGTGCGCTTCGTCAGCCCGGCACGGCCCGTTCCTGCTCCCCGCACCAAGTCAGTGGTGCGCGTCGTCAGCCCGGTCCGGCCCATTCCTGCTCCCCGCACCAAGTCAGTGGTGCGTTTCGTCAGCCCAGCTCGGCCCGTTCCTGCTCCCCGCACCAAGTCAGTGGTGCGCTTCGTCAGCCCGGTCCGGCCCGTTCCTGTTCCCCGCACCAAGTCAGTGGTGCGCTTCGTCAGCCCGGTCCGGCCCGCTCCTGCTCCCCGCACCAAGTCAGTGGTGCGCTTCGTCAGCCCGGTCCGGCCCGCTCCTGCTCCCCGCACCAAGTCAGTGGTGCGCTTCGTCAGCCCGGTCCGGCCCGCTCCTGCTCCCCGCACCAAGTCAGTGGTGCGCTTCGTCAGCCCGGTCCGGCCCGCTCCTGCTCCCCGCACCAAGTCAGTGGTGCGTTTCGTCAGCCCGGCGCGGCCCGCTCCTGCTCCCCGCACCAAGCCAGTGGTGTGCGTCGTCAGTCCGGCACGGGCCGTGCCTGTTCCACCGGTGGCTGGTCCGGCACCGGTCAGATGCTTCGCGCCGGAGCTAGAGCAATCCGCTCCACCAGTGTCAAGTTCAGCTCCAGCCAGCGGGGCCAGACTGGACCAGGGGCGCTATGGGGGGTTGATTGGAGGGTGGTGGTCAAGGCCGGAGCCAGAACCGCCGCCGAGGAGGTATGCCCGCCCAGCCCTCCCCTGTTTTGTTTTAGTTGAGGCGCGGTCGCAGTCCGCGCCTTTAGGGGGGGGTACTGTCACACCCTGGCTCTGGGACTCTATATGTTGAGCCAGGGTGTGTTCATTCTGTGGTGTTCATTCTAGTTTGTTGTATTCTATGTTTGCCTGAGTGACTCCCAATCAGAGGCAACGAGTGTCAGCTGTTGGCTGGTTGTCTCTGATTGGGAGCCATATTTTAACTGTCTGTTTTCCCTTTGTGTTTGTCGGTTTTTGTTCCGTGTTCGGTCATTGATACCGTTGGACGTCACGAGTCGTTTCTTGTTTTGTGTTTAAACTTTAACTAATTAAAGTACGTTTGTTCATCACGCTGCGCCTTGGTCTGTTCCATATGACGATCGTGACAATTCCTCTAGGATTTTGCCTGTGCTTAGCTCTATTCCATTTATTTTTATCCTACAAAACTCCCTTGTCCGTACCGATGACAAGCATACCTATAACATGATGCAGCCACCAACATGCTTGAAAATATGAAGAGCGGTACTCAGTGATGTGTTGTGTTGGATTTGCCCCCAAAATAATGCTTTGTATTAATTTCTTTGCCACATTTTTTGCAGTTTTACTTTTGTGCCTTATTGCAAACAGGATGCATGTTTTGGAATATTTGTATTATGTACAGGTTTCCTTCTGTTCACTCTGTCATTTAGGTTAGTATTGTGGAGTAAATACAATGTTTTTGATCCATCCTCAGTTTTCTCCTATCACAGCCATTAAACTCTGTAACTGTTTTAAAGTTACCATCGGCCACGTAGTGAAATCCCTGAGCGGTTTCATTCCTCTCCGGCAACTGAGTGTATTGATACACCATCCAAAGTGTAATTAATAACTTCACCATGCTCAAAGGGATATTCAATGTCTGCTTTTGTTTTTTATTTTTACCCATCTACCAATAGTTGCCCTTCTTTACGAGGCATTGGAAAACATCCCTGGTGTTTGTGGTTGAATCTCTGTTTAAAATTCACTGCTCAACGGAGGGACCTTACATTTAATTGTATGTGTGGGGTACAGACATGATGTAGTCATTCAAAAATCATGTTAAACACTATTATTGCACACAAAGTGAGTCCATGCAACTTATTATGTGACTTGTTAAGCAAATGTTTGCTCCTGAATTTATTTAGGCTTGCCATAACAAAGGGGTTGAATACTTATTGACTCAAGACATTTCAGCTTTCATTTTTAATTAATTTTTCAAAACATAATTCAACTTTGACATTATGGGATATTGTGTGTAGGCCAGTGACACAAAATCTCAATTTAATTTTAAAATCAGGCTGTAACACAACAAAATGTTGAAAAAGGCAAAGGGTGTGAATACTTTCTGAAGGCACTGTATATGGAATATATGGAACGTATTTAGGGAGTATCCATATAATAACAGAAGTGTGGGGTAGGCAAGAGGAATTGGCAAGAGAGGAATATGTGTATTTGCACTTGTGATTACCTGTAGACAGGAGGCGGCGCAAAACAGTGTGAAATGTGACTTGGAGAAAGAGAATGGGCTAAAGGCGGTGAGCAGATAGAGCCAGGTGGTGTAGCTGTGCTCTAGCGCAAATCCATGCATGTTAATGTGAGTCGTGATGAGAGGAGAGCTCTGCTGCTGTAGCTCTCCAATACCCTCAAGTGTTATTTCCAAAAGCCTGCTTATCTCTGCCGATTGATCCTCTTTGTGTGATGTCTCTACATCTGAATAGTTCCTTTGTAAAGAGTCTGTCTGAGGTACAAATGGATGTACCCATATGGCATCAGGTTTACTGAGTTGCTGATGTCGTGACCAGGGATTTATCACAGTGTCAGTTTTAGGGTTTAGGGATTGGACCTGATAGGGTTAGGTAGGGGAACTAGAACGGGTATCACAACAGAATTTGTGCCACTGATGTACTGTTGCAACATGTTAGTGATTCACTGCCGCCTACAGCCCATATGTTACAGTACCACCAGTGGCCCCTGGTCACCCTGCAGTCTGAATGTAGAGCAACACCATGACTGGGATGAAACCTCTCTGTGCTTTCCTCCCCTGCAAAAGGACTGACTCATACCACACATTATTCAACATACAGAAAACATCTCAGGGAGTTGATCTAGCTGCAGATAGATAATTCTCCTCTATGTGTTTTCCCCTTGCTGTTAATAAGCTCTTATCAATCTAACTTTAATATAATTAATTACTAAAATTAATAGAGAACATCTGGTTATCTGTCTATGCACCAGCTATTGTATTAGAGACAAGCTGTGGTTGAAGTCCTGCCAACTCAAAAACTGCCCAATAAATGTGTAACCAAGGGGGAACTAGTGCATTTCTCTTCCACTATCTGACCAGAAAGTATGTGAGAAAAGCTGCTTCTTTGCTACCAATCATCCAAAACATGTGAAACTCTTGTAAAATAATTTGCATTTATTTGATCATATAGACTTTGAAAGGGTAGACATGTAGAGATTCCTCTTGTCAAAAGTATTGCTGTTACAAAAGTATTTATTCATGCAGCGTAACAGGTTACAGGTTCTTCTTGGTGGAGTGCCTGAATGGCTTCATCATTGCTGAGAAGACCCTGACGATCAGGGAGAGTTTTTTGATAGGCTTAGAGATGGAGGGAGAAACCTCTCCAACTGGAGATTCAGCACCATGAGCCTCAATGTGTGGGGCTAGAAACACAAGAGAAATGGGTGGGGTAAGGGGTGCGAGAGAGAGAAATACAGTATAATAACTTTGAAAAATAACAGTGCTTTGAGTTTGGTAGCATACTCTATGTTTCTAACACACACCTAAACAAAAGTACAAGCTATAGCAGAGCTCTAAAACATCCTTACCTCTGCAATATCCACCAGTAGAGGGAATCTCAGTCTGTTCCTGGACTGAATGGCAGTCCTTTTTGTTTCCTCTCTTGGAACGCTAACAGGAGAAAGGTAAAGAAAATGGTACAGAGAATATATAAATAAACGGAACACTTCCGAATCCAAGGCAACAATATAGTGATGAATAAAACATATTTATCTCATGTATTTGTCTCATCATAGCCACATCAATAACACCAGCCCTAACTGGAACAAAAACCGACGGCTAACTCCCTGCTATACCTTGAAGTTGATCCTGAGTTTGGACATTGAAAAACAAAGGAAGCTCCTTCTTGCTTTCTGCTCAGCCCCCCTCTCTGTCTCAGCCTGGTCTGCTGGGTTTGTTGCAGCAGAAGCTGGTCTTGACGCCTCCTTGCATCCCTGCACCAGCTGCTGGGTCAAGGACTTTACCAGGACTCTGTCAAATGCAGGGTCCTGGGAGGCCATAGCTGCTTGGAGGGTGTTATAAGAGTCCTTCTCTTCCATGTCAATCCCATCTCCCTTTGGTACCAAAGAGGTTCCCTTGCTGGTGAAAGACGGAGTGGAGGATCGAAAAGAGTCTTTAGCACTCGATGGTCGGCTGCTGTCAGTCATTGGACTGTTACAATTCAGGGGTTCATCTGTGTGTGTCATCGTCTTTGTCCTTAGGTCACTCGTAGAAATCTCTGGCATTATAGAGTCCCTGGTGTCGATGCAGGAGCTCCTGACGATGGGGAAGGTCACATCATCAGGCACTTCATCAGGGATGGGAGTGCCAGGGAGGTTGATCTCTAACTCACATTCTGACCTAGGACCCATGGAAGAGCTGGACAAGGAACGACGACCCTTTGAGGAAGTGGGCAAAGATGAACAGGTTCTAGGGATGTCTTGGCAGACTTGTTCACTGTCATCCTCACTTTTCTCAACCTCCTTCAGCATAGTTCCTACCATATCATTGATCTGAAGGAGCTCCCTGGAATCCTTAATTCGCCCTAAGTTTGAGATTTCACTCTGGATAGCAACCAGGATTTCTCCAAGGGTCTCTTTGGAAGAAGCATTTTCTGTCCTTTCGGATCTGGATGGCTTCAGTCCTGTGAAGAAATCCTTAAGTCTGTTCTTCATACTGACGCAGATGGTCTTAGCTGTTGACCAAAGCTTCTTCTCTGATATTTTAACACTCAATTCAGTATCATCCAGTTGGGAGCCCCCGTGGGAGTACTGCGAAACTCTCCCACTTCTTTCCAGTAGCACAGACTCTGTTCGCCAATTAGTGTCAGTGGACTCATTTTTCTGAAAAATAGTTGCCATGCCTTTGACAAAGGTTTCCACTAATCCAGAGGCTGTATCCTGAGAGGACATGGAGGCAATCTCTGATGGCGAGCTAGATGATAAGCCAGCCTGCAGACTTTTCTGAAGACCAGTATGGCTGATCTGTGTGATAAAGGAATGACTGGATCTCATCAGCACTTTACTCACTGCCTCTTCTGCCTGAGTCTGAAAGTCCTTGCTAGAGAGCTTCTTAATGCTCTGAATCAGACTAGTAGAGGACTGTGTGATTCTGACACGCTCTTCTGAGCTCAGTTGAGAATATTGAGTAGTCACACTCAAATCTTTATTGGGTGAAGGTGACTGGGAAATAGTATAGTCACCATCTACAAACCAACAAGCCTCCAGGGACTCATCAGATGAACTGATAACAGCCAATGATTTACTCTCCACTTTTGATAACTCTGACTTGTAGATGGAAACAACACTGCTAAGAACTTCTTGAGTACTGGTATCCAGATTGGAGAGACAGAGAGCGGGTGTTGGTTGGCTCTCACTGGGAACTCTACTAAGTTTGGCGCTGGGTAACTGGACCTCATCAGTTGAAACAGTTGCCTTTTCCAGGGTGTCTGAAGACTCCTGAAAAGAGGCATAGAGTGTGTGGGCTGGAGAGAAAGTTATCTTCTGTGAAGACCCTGTCTTGTGGTCATTTAGAGGAACTGGCCTATCAACTGCTTCACATGTGCCTTCAAATGATGCGGTCGTCTCCATGCCTCCCACATATGCCTTAACAATCTCTGTGGCAGTGGAGGTTACAGATGTCAGGGCTGTGCAGCTGGGATTCAGGGGAGCTTCAGTAATGCTGGGAGCAGCACTAGAAGGCCTAGAGGAAGGAGCCATGCCAGAAGAGTTGCTGACTTTCCGTGTAAGGATGGTGCTCACCGCCTTGAGGGCTTTAGACTGAAAGTTGGGGCTAGAGAGGGTCTGAAGCTTTCTGGCTACCACACTGGTAGATGATCCAGTCTCTTTGAGAAAGTGAGTGGTCCCTTCTTTCCCAGATGGACACTCAACATCAAGGTCACATTGAAGATTGGTCAGAAATGTTGACCCCAAGATTTTCATCTTCTTGGCCAGATCCAATAGGATGTTGTAGTCCTGTGCCATTTTGTCCATTGTGCTGACAATGGCATCCAGCACATCGTCGGTCACAGGGTCCATGAGGGGCTCGATAAACCCTACCCACTCTGGCTCAGATGTTTGGCTCTGTAGCTCGGCCAGGATCAGCACCGAGGCTACACGAATGACCTCCCTGCCTGCTGCTATATCCTGACTGTCCATAGGAGGGCAACTCCCCGAGCTGGCCTGAATGGCCACTGAAAGGCCTGAGTTAAGCTGGTGTACTACCTCCCCTGCGATAGCACAGCTCAGCTGGGAGGAGCTGGAGGAGGTGGGGTTGGAGTGGCCCTCAACCAGGGATATCAGGAGGCTCTCTTTCGTTACCCCAAAGAGAGCCTTCAGAGGATCCTCCATGAGGGGAGCCTCTCTAGTTGCAGGCAAGCTCTGCAATGAGGTCTGGGACCTTGAAGATCAACACACAAACACCACTTATGCCATGCAAATGTGACCAACTGGTATCTAATCTGGGTCATTAGTGAGCCTGAAGACCAAATTAGAGCAATGATGGCTTACTTCTTATACCAGCATAGTTCTAGAAGCCTAAAGCCAACTGACACAATTTTCTTTGCCTGATTTTGATGTTTGTACAACATCAGATTTGGATTATTTCTGAAAGGCATGTACCTGATTCTGAAAGGCATGTACCTGATCTCTTTATTCATAGTTTACTTTATGGCTTACCCAGTTAACAATTACTTTCACCTGGACCCACCCCCCCAGGGGCAAGATTTCTGACCAGACCTTAAAACTACAAGGTGTGAATTCCAAGTTAATAATTTATGATAAGTATGGGTCAGGGCTTGCAATCATTAAGTTGAAATATTGCTGTGAACATACCTCTTAGGCGAGAAGCATGGTGATGAGGTTCTGCGAGTGGATTTTTGACGGCACCCTGCACTGCCATTCCTCCTCCTATCCTTAGTCCAGTAGTTCATCTCACTGATCAGCAGCCTTTTCTCACACTCATCCAGGCTGCCTAAGGAGTCCTCATACCCTGTCAGAGAGCAGAGAGATTCTGGGGAGGTTGCCCTACTCCTCAGGTTCACCCCCATGATACGAGCTAGCGCTGGTAGCAGAATGCGGAGGGCCGTCTGGGTCACGACCTTAATAATCTTCAGACACAGCATGGAGAGCTGCTCGAACGTCAGCTATGGCCAACAGAGTAATGTTTTTGTCAATCAAGCCATTCCATGACACCATTCCCTATATAGTGCACTACTTTTGACCGAACCTTATGTGGAGAGACTTACGTTGTTTTTCATGCCATGCTGAATCACTCTCCATTGGCTAGAGAAAATACAAGAAATGAAGCATATTTTAACTGCACACTGGTGTTGAGTTAGTGGAGTCACTAGATAGCCATGTTAGGGAAAATACAAGTGTATTTAATTAAGCTATTAGCAAGTACATGAGCCATTTTGTTCTTGATTTAGGGGAAGAGTTAGGGGTATGTTTACGGTGATGTTAGGGTTAGGTATAGTGGTTGAAATCACATTTGTGGTTAGAAGGTGCACTATGACTATAATTTCAGAGTTGTTGTATGTGAGGTTGGAGAAAGACATGAGACTTACTCATCAGTTAGACTCCTCAGGAAGGAGAGGAGGATTGGTGCACAGCATGTCCCAATCTTGAGAGAAGGCATTAGAGTACTCTGAGCCTCCTTCTCCAGCTGCTCAAGGATAGATCCCCTGTCCCGGAAACCACACCTGGGTGTCTGAGAAGACTCTGGGAAACCGCAAAGAGAAATCTGAAGTTGAATCTGAACTTTATTCCTAATTTCCTTCACCCGTAATGATTTGATTGCACTGGACAGGTAAAAGCATATCTCTCTGTTGGCCTCCACTATATTGCTTTCACCTATATACAGTTGAAGTCAGAAGTTTACATACACCTTAGCCAAATACATTTAAACTCTGTTTTTCACAATTCCTGACATTTAATCCTAGTAAAAATTCCCTGTCTTAGGTCAGTTAGAATCACCACTTTATTTTTAGAATGTGAAATGTCAGAATAATAGTAGAGAGAATTATTTATTTCAGCTTTTATTTCTTTCATCACATTCCCAGTGGGTCAGAAGTTTACATACACTCAATTAGTATTTGGTAGCATTGCCTTTAAATTGTTTAACTTGGGTCAAACGTTTCGGGTAGCCTTCCACATGCTTCCCACAATATGTTGGGTGAATTTTGGCCCATTCCTCCTGACAGAGCTGGTGTAACTGAGTCAGGTTTGTAGGCCTCCTTGCTCGCACACGCTTTTTCAGTTCTGCCCACAGATTTTCTATAGGATTGAAGGTCAGGGCTTTGTGATGGCCACTCCAATAACTTGACTTTGTTGTCCTTAAGCCATTTTGCCACAACTTTGGAAGTATGCTTGGGGTCATTGTCCATTTGGAAGACCCATTTGCGACCAAGCTTTAACTTCCTGACTGATGTCTTGAGATGTTGCTTCAATATATCCACATCATTTTCCTTCCTCATGATGCCATCTATTTTGTGAAGTGCACCAGTCCCTCCTGCAGCAAAGCACCCCCACAGCATGATGCTGCCACCCCCTTGCTTCACGGTTGGGATGGTGTTCTTTGGCTCGCAAGCTACTCCCTTTTTCCTCCAAACATAACGATGGTCATTATGGCCAAACAGTTCTATTTTTGTTTCATCAGACCAGAAGACATTTCTCCAAAAAGTACAATCTTTGTCCCCATGTGCAGTTGCAAACCGTAGTCTGGCTTTTTTATGGCGGTTTTGGATCAGTGGCTTCTTCCTTGCTGAGCAGCCTTTCAGGTTATGTTGATATAGAACTCATTCTACTGTGGATATAGATAATTGTGTACCTGTTTCCAGCATCTTCACAAGGTCCTTTGCTGTTGTTCTGGGATTGACTTGCACTTTTCGCACCAAAGTACGTTCATCTCTAGGAGACAGAACGCGTCTCCTTCCTAAGCGGTATGACGGCTGCGTGGTCCCACTGTGTTTATAGTTGCGTACTATTGTTTGTACAGATGAACGTGGTACCTTCAGGCGTTTTGGAAATTGCTCCCAAGGATGAACCAGACTTGTGGAGGTCTACAAAAAATTATCTGAGGCCTTGGCTGATTTCTTTTGATTTTCCCATTATGTCAAGCAAATAGGCACTTAGTTTGAAGGTAGGCCTTGAAATACATCCACAGGTACACCTCCAATTGACTCAAATGATGTCAATTAGCCGATCAGAAGCTTCTAAAGCCATGACATCATTTCCTGGAATTTTCCAAGCTGTTTAAAGGCACAGTCAACTTAATGTATGTAAACTTCTGATCCACTGGAATTGTGAAATAATCTGTCTGTAAAAAATTACTTGTGTCATGCACAAAGTAGATGTCCTAACCGACTTGCCAAAACAATAGTGTGTTAACTAGAAATTTGTGGAGTGGTTGAAAAATGAGTTTTAATGACTAAGTGTATGTAACTTTGAACATAACCTGCATCCAACATAAAGTAATCTCAGACCTGCACCAATGCTGCTGTCCTCCTCCACTGAAGTCTTCTTGGCACGGCCACTGGACTTATGTTTGGCCTACATGACAAAATATTATAGGTCTCATAGCAGATCTAAGGTCAGTGTAGCGTCTCCTCCTAATGCTTAAAGGTTAGGATTTAGTGATAGTAAACTAATCCTAGATCTGTGCCTAAGTAGGCAGAGGATGTGTAAAGGACAGCATATTTCTTACATTGCCTCCTGTCCTCTTCTTGTTAGTCTCATGTGTCTCTGTTTCATCCTTCATATCCTCCACAACTTTATTTTGATCATCAGGGGGATCCTCCCATTTCACGCTCTGGTGGATAAATGAGAGGTCAATATCAGTCCTAGGTTGTGACTTTATGAAACAACTTATTCACTCCTATTTTACACAAAATGGCAATAGTGGTCAGATTTTAGTCCATGGGTCAAACCAGTGAGACCTATTGCTGTGGTAGTGGCCTAAGATATTGTTAGTAATTTCTTCTTAACTCAAAATAGGCTAAATGAACCATACCTTGCTGTCATCAGACATGATGTGTAGCCTATTGTAGTAGGCTATTTAGAGGTAACACTAATACCTCTTAAAACACATCAGTGAACCATCCGTAGACAACTGAAATGAATATGAACGTTTCCTTGAATTATACCAAAGCGATATTGAATACTCGTTTCCGATTGGCTGAAGCAAGGACATTCTTCAAAGACGGCATACACACATGATGTCACAATTAGGCCTAAGTCTTATGTCTATACGCATTGTCAATGTCATCAGAAAAGAGATCATAGCTTGTCAAAGTTCTGCCAAACGAAAATATTTGTAAGTGTCACGTTTTTGCGTTTAATTTATGGTTTATCAAGCATCCTCATCCTCTTCATAGGCATCATCATCACCATGCACAACAACGTAACTCGCTGCAATCCATTAGCGATAATTCTGAGGTTGCAAAGCTGCAAAACTAGGACATGCAATACATTATAATAAATTGCACTTTAAAATCAGTTTAAAATCAATGACGTTCTAGGGGGCTCAAACTATTTCAGCACTATGGAGCTGTCCGCTGCATAGCGCTGACAAGTTTCTAGGCGTTAGTGGACCATGCCATGGTGCTGAAATGGAGCAGGGCTCAGTTCTATGGGTATCTCATGGGGCTTTCCTGCTAGCCTATGTATAACGATACTATAATTACATTATTTTCATCCATCCATCAACACAAAGGGCTTGTCAAAGTTTCCCAAATAATCACGCAATGAAGCCAAGACGAGATGTATGGTTCTTCATCCAGAGGGCGAAGCACCACGGTATCATCTAAAACCTTCAGAGAGATCCCTTAAAACTGCAGTATACATTTCACCCAGCTGTTATGGTAGCTAGGTTAATTTCGCAAGACATGGACAAATCTAACACATAGCGTTTCTACTGAGTCCTGCTTAGAGGTGACTGACTGTCATTTTGCTAGTTGTAATGGCGCTTTGTAATTGCTCTGGGAGCTAATTATTGCAGAGGAAGATTTCAGCTACACATCCTGCTCACTGGGCTCATTATGGACAGCCAAGGAGCAATTCAGTCGAACAAGTCAGCCAGATCAGATCCCCATCTGCTACTAGGCTACTGTAGCAACCTGCCGGCCTGCACCATCCTCCATGGCACGACTACCACACGCGCAGTATGGCATGCTAACATCCCACAACAATTACCCAATTGGAATTACTTGCCTAAACTTCCAATCATACTTATTTTCTAATATCAACCACAGTTTATGCCCTTAAGGCAGAACTGCCATTAGAACAAGATTGAATTAGGAAAACTCTAAAGCTCGTTATCGATTTCTGCTCGAAACTCAAAAACCTAGGCTAAAATGAACCTTACCTGGCTGTCGTCAGCCATTATGCGTATCCCGTTAATGAAGGCTCTGCGCCTCTGATACTATAGCTGTTCTTATAGCCTACTGTAGCGGCTCTGTAACTGTTAAACTAGTCTAATCTAATCTAATCCGTTGAAAACCTGTCCGTGAACCGTCCTCAAACACAATGAACTGAAGTCAATATGGACATTAACCTTCACATAAAGACATCATATACATGACGTCAAATATGCCTAGAGGCATTGTTGACATAATCAGAAAGCATATCATAGTGTCACAGTACATGCTGTTGACAGCCTACTCCAAAATCAAACAGGAACATGGATTTTGTGTTGTAGATATGTGGTAGTAGAGTAGGGGCCTGAGGGCACGCATTTAATGTTTTGTGAAATCTGTTGTGAATGTATTGTAATGTTTTTAAAATTGTATAACTGCCTTCATTTTGCTGGACCCTTGGCAGCAGCTAATGGGGATCCATAATAAATACAAAAACAAACCCAATGCACCATGATAATAAATGCATCAACTTGTTTTGACATATCACATGGGATATGACAGTTTCTGATTCTGAGATACTGTAAATCAACAGACCTTGAGAGGAGATAAAACAAAATCTGTTGATCTATTTCACAGGTCTCTGGTGGTTTCTAAGCATTGTGTTGGGGAAGGAGTCACCTGTAGCTCAGTTGGTAGAGCATGGCGCTTGCAACGCCAGGGTTGTGGGTTTATTTCCCACGGGGGGCCAGTAAGAAAATGTATGCACTCACTAACTGTAAGTCGCTCTGGATAAGAGTGTCTGCTAAATGACTAATGTAAAATGTAAGGAGGGTGGGATCTCTCCAGAGCATCTAATTACATCAATCATGCCATGCATGTGATATGTGATAATGTTATGTACCATGCAAATACACATTGCCTAAGGCAATTACATCAAAGGTCTTGTAGTTTGGTAAGAAGAATACTCCTCTCCCCACCGGTGTGATTAATACCTCTGAGGGTTTAGAGCTTGAGGTAGTCACCTCATACAAGTACAGTGGGGGAAAAAAGTATTTAGTCAGCCACCAATTGTGCAAGTTCTCCCACTTAAAAAGATGAGAGAGGCCTGTAATTTCCATCATAGGTACACGTCAACTATGACAGACAAATTGAGATTATTTTTTCCAGAAAATCACATTGTAGGATTTTTAATGAATTTATTTGCAAATTATGGTGGAAAATAAGTATTTGGTCACCTACAAACAAGCAAGATTTCTGGCTCTCACAGACCTGTAACTTCTTCTTTAAGAGGCTCCCCTGTCCTCCACCCGTTACCTGTATTAATGGCACCTGTTTGAACTTGTTATCAGTATAAAAGACACCTGTCCACAACCTCAAACAGTCACACTCCAAACTCCACTATGGCCAAGACCAAAGAGCTGTCAAAGGACACCAGAAACAAAATTGTAGACCTGCACCAGGCTGGGAAGACTGAATCTGCAATAGGTAAGCAGTTTGGTTTGAAGAAATCAACTGTGGGAGCAATTATTAGGAAATGGAAGACATACAAGACCACTGATAATCTCCCTCGATCTGGGGCTCCACACAAGATCTCACCCCGTGGGGTCAAAATGATCACAAGAACGGTGAGCAAAAATCCCAGAACCACACGGGGGGACCTAGTGAATGACCTGCAGAGAGCTGGGACCAAAGTAACAAAGCCTACCATCAGTAACACACTACGCCGCCAGGGAGTCAAATCCTGCAGTGCCAGACGTGTCCCCCTGCTTAAGCCAGTTCATGTCCAGGCCCGTCTGAAGTTTGCTAGAGTGCATTTGGATGATCCATTGGGAGAATGAAGAGGATTGGGAGAATGTCATATGGTCAGATGAAACCAAAATAGAACTTTTTGGTAAAAACTCAACTCGTCGTATTTGGAGGACAAAGAATGCTGAGTTGCATCCAAAGAACACCATACCTACTGTGAAGCATGGGGGTGGAAACATCATGCTTTGGGGCTTTTTTCTGCAAAGGGACCAGGACGACTGATCCGTGTAAAGGAAAGAATGAATGGGGCCATGTATCGTGAGATTTTGAGTGAAAACCTCCTTCCATCAGCAAGGGCATTGAAGATGAAACGTGGCTGGGTCTTTCAGCATGACAATGATCCCAAACACACCGCCCGGGCAACGAAGGAGTGGCTTCGTAAGAAGCATTTCAAGGTCCTGGAGTGGCCTAGCCAGTCTCCAGATCTCAACCCCATAGAACATCTTTGGAGGGAGTTGAAAGTCTGTGTTGCCCAGCGACAGCCCCAAAACATCACTGCTCTAGAGGAGATCTGCATGGAGGAATGGGCCAAAATACCAGCAACAGTGTGTGAAAACCTTGTGAAGACTTACAGAAAACGTTTGACCTGTGTCATTGCCAACAAAGGGTATATAACAAAGTATTGAGAAACTTTTGTTATTGACCAAATACTTATTTTCCACCATAATTTGCAAATAAATTCATTAAAAATCCTACAATGTGATTTTCGGGATTTTTTTCCCTCATTTTGTCTGTCATAGTTGACATGTACCTATGATGAAAATTACAGGCCTCTCTCATCTTTTTAAGTGGGAGAACTTGCACAATTGGTAGCTGACTAAATACTTTTTTCCCCCACTGTACTTGGGAGTATGGCTAGACAGTACACTGTCCTTCTCTCAGCACATATCAAAGCTGCAGGCTAAGGTTAAATCTAGACTTGGTTTCCTCTAATATAATCGGTCCTCTTTCACCCCAGCTGCCAAATTAACCCTGATTCAGATGACCATCCTACCCATGCTAGATTACGGAGACGTAATTTATAGATCATCAGGTAAGAATGCTCTCGAGCGACTAGATGTTCTTTACCATTCGGCCATCAGATTTGACACCAATGCTCCTTATAGGACACATCACTGCACTCTATACTCCTCTGTAAGCTGGTCATCTCTGTATACCCGTCGCAAGACCCACTGGTTGATGCTTATTTATAAAACCCTCTTAGGCCTCACTCCCCCCTATCTGAGATACTGCAGCCCTCATCCTCCACATACAACACCCGTTCTGCCAGTCACATTCTGTTAAAGGGCCCCAAAGCACACACATCACTGGGTCGCTCCTCTTTTCAGTTCGCTGCAGCTAGCGACTGGAACGAGCTGCAAAAAACACTCAAACTGGACAGTTTTATCTCCATCTCTTAATTCAAAGACTCAATCATGGACGCTCTTACTGACAGTTGTGGCTGCTTCGTGTGATGTACTGTTGTCTCTACCTTCTTGCCCTTTGTGCTGTTGTCTGTGCTTAATAATGTTTGTACCATGTTTTGTGCTGCTGCCACCATGTTGTGCTGCTGCCATATTGTGTTGCTACCATGTTGTTGTCATGTTGTGTTGCTACCATGCTGTGTTGTCATGTGTTGCTGCCATGCTAAGTTGTTGTCTTGGGTCTCTCTTTATGTAGTGTTGTGGTGTCTCTCTTGTCGTGATGTGTGTTTTGTCCTATATTTAATTTTTATTTTTTACATTTAATCCCAGCCCCCGTCCCCGCAGGACCTTTTGGTAGGCCGGCATTGTAAATAAGAATTTGTTCTTAACTGACTTGCCTAGTTAAAGATTAAATCAAAATAAAATAAAAGGCTGCAGTGCTATACTCCATTGAGACAGTGCTCATTGTTCATTTTACATGATGGATATATGCTACTCCATTTCTTACAATCAATCAGCCTAAAATCCCAAAGAGCAAGCAATGCAGATATAGAAGCACGGTGGCTAGGAAAAACTCCCTAGAAAGGCAGGAACCTAGGAATAAACCTAGAGAGGAACCAGGCTCTGAGGGGTGGCCAGTCCTCTTCTGGCTGTGCCGGTGGAGATTATAAGAGTACATGGCCATTAAGCCCAGATTGTTCTTCAAGTAGTTCAAATGTGCTTCATAGATGACCAGCAGGGTCAAATAATAATGTGGTTAAAGAGGGTGCAACAGGTCAGCACCTCAGGAGTGAATGTCAGTTGGCTTTTCATAGCTGAGTTGAGCTGAGCTGAGCAGAGCAGAGCAGAGCAGAGAGAGAGAGAGAGAGAGAGAGAGAGAGAGAGAGCAGTCAAAACAGCAGATCCAGGACAAGGTATCACGTCCGGAGAACACACATGCCTCTTCAAGCATTTCGCTAAACCTGCAATAACATCTGCTAAACACGTGTATGTGACAAATAGAATGTGATTTGATGTGATACATGATGTTTGGCTGTGAAGTGTTATCTTATGGGTTTGGTGATTGTTCTGTGTGAAGCTGCATTCTACATTGCATCATGGAATGTGGAATGTGATGTGAAACCACTGAGCCTATGGCTGCTGAAGCTACTCCACTGCGCTGCTGCTGTGAGCAGGAGTGGGAGAGAAGCCATGCTTTTATTAGACTCTTCTTCTGTCACTCATTCTCCTGCCTCTCCATCCCAAAGGCTGCCAAGTATTTTGAAGGGTGGTTAAAGAGGCAGCTGTGTGCACACACACTCAGAATATTTATAGGTTTGTCTTATTCCAGAAAACACCCATAAGTGTGATCCTGAAACGAGTGTCAGTGTAATGCGGTGGATCGAAGTCAGGCGCAGGACACAGAACTCGAGGAAAGTACTTTACTGAACTTGAGTAAAGAAAACAACACAGCAATACCTTCGACACACGAAACGAAAACCAACCATGCACAAGACACATTGGGAGCACCTGGGTTAAATAGGGTAGGCGTGATTACACAATGGTGAAAAGTGTTTGACTTACACAGTTCACTAGACACATCATACATAGATCGGCCAGAGTATATTTCGGTGACAGAAGCGCAGCTGCCGAGTAAGAGGAGGGGCACCTCGGCAGAATCCCGGCTACAGCGTGCTGACACCGGCTTGGACGGCCAGAAGGACGCGGCGCGGGGGATCTGGAGACTACGGTGGAATCTCAACATGGAGGGATCGAGGATGTCATGCGAGGACCCAGAAACCGTCCGGACCGTACCCTCCCACTCACGGTTGAGGCTC